AGGCGACAAGAAACATTCTTCAACATACGATTTGAGGTAGCAAGGGGAATTGCGATCCAATGGGCATACATTCCTCTATTTTCTTATTTTTTCTATTAATCTATAGAAGATAAAAAGTCTATCAACTCTTAAAAAATTCAACTTCTAACTACACAAATTGTAAACGTGAGGTCCGAGGTCGAACTCAGACTTCAACCAACGAGGCTGAAGTTGGGATTTTATTCTTTGGGTCCAAAATTGATTTTTAAAATTTTCATGTAAAAATAAACTGTTTGCGAGGGTCGCAGACAAACATTCTCCGATTTCGACGGATGGAAAGCAGGACCGGTTCGTATTTGTCATTCAGCTGGTCATATGAACATACACACTCAAGAAATTCAAAACGTCTTGGAACTCAGTACTTTGACGGGCCATTGTAATATTTCAGACATCAACTAAATTTATGCGAAATCTGGCGTGTTACATAACGTCACGACGCAACACCGACTGCTTAACTCTGACCTCTGGAGTTGAAAACAACCAATCCGGCGAATTAAATTGAAATTAGTCCACCAGTCAGGAAATTCGTGCTACAAAGAACCAACCATCTTGCAAATTTGCGTATGAGTGGGAGAAATTGTTTCATTTATGGAAGCTGCAGTGTGTAGCAGACATTCGCTGCTACGATATTTTAAATTTGCGCAAATACATGTGGAATTATACGACCGCGATTATGTGTCAAGAAACTCACAAAGTCGATAAGGAAAGTCGGAATAAAACAAAACCAGTCTGTGTTTAAATACACTGTATGCATCTGTTATTCCAAATGTAGTAAAGTAAAGTAAAGTTTGTCCCACTATACGCCATGTAGGCGCTTGGGGGGAGCGGAGATATAGCTCCTACTCATTCTTTACCTCGGCACTAGATGGGGGTGAGTGGTCAGCATCACGCCCCGGCCGGCTTTACCCCCGGGAAAGGATCCCGGTACCCATTGTAGAGGAGGCTGGGTGGGCCCCAGAGCCGGTCTGGACGCAGAGGCTAGAGGAAAAATCCTCTGCTCCGTTGGGGATCGAACCCCGGTCGTCCAGCCCGTAGCTAGTCACTATACTGACTGAGCTATCCCGGCTCATATTCCAAATGTAGTCACTTCCATAACAAAAATCAACGCCAAAGTTTCTTTTTACGCATTTCTTTGAATTGCTGGCCGAGGCTGAAGACTTTAATCCTTGATGGCTTCGGGTGCAGGAGAATACTTTGCATGTAGCTTTTCGTGGTTTTCCTCATTCTATTCTTTATCCCGATGGACACATTCCCAGTTATTTTCCCACGATCATTATAATCGAAGACGGATATCCTGTGGAATGTTGCAGCTTTAGTCTGGTTTTGACCGACGTTTCAGACCGTCACTACATGCACATTAAAGACCTCAGCATAAATTCTACAAGCAAAAATTTATTTCCCTTTAAGTTGCAGGGAAGTTTATATGAAAGTACCAACAAATCAGATAGCTATTTTGAGAGAAGACTCACAAAGATGGCTACTACTATGACAGCACTGAAAGACCGTGCGAGAGGGCGGATCTCATCGGTCATCAGCGTCTAACGCCCTAGTGTTCTGTGACCACAACACAGAACACACGCTCTGGGGCTCCGATGAACTTATCTGTCGCGGTCCCGGTGTGCTGCTGTCGCATCAACTGGTGTTCCCACTCATCGCTCGGCGAGGCACGAGATAAAGGTCGATCAATCAACGCGCTGCATTTCAGACATCCAATTATCGTTCTTCGGCAGTCATTGGATTGCAACTCTCGAACCTAGCTCATTATCTGTCCAAGACAGTTACCGGAATATGTTCACATAAAACGGGCGAACAGATGTTGGACAGGGTGAACGTGAATGGAACTGGTCGTGGCGTATTAAAACGTTCCACAATGTGTCTGGAAGGGAACGGATGGTGGTCTAAGACCTATATAAGGAACTGCCATTCAATCTGGGTCGTGGTTTGTAAGACGATCTGAAACTGGTGTACCCACGATCACGATACTTCGTACAAAGCGCCAAAAACAGCCAATATCAGCGGTTCTCATCCAATGGCCCGCAATATAATCTTTTTCGTTTTTTCAAAGAACTAGCAGAGTGTCCGAAGTGTTACTGCAGGGAAATTTAAGTTCTTCACATTAACAGGCATGATGATTCGATATGTATCGTCGAATATCATACAAATTATTATTATTATTATTGTCCCTAAACCCAGCGTCTTCACGGACTCGAACACAGGGAAACTTCCGCGTTTGTGACCTGTTTCTATAATCTCCTCGCCGAAAGAGCTTTGGTCTTGGCGCCGTTCTTCTATCGTCCTTGGTTTCCGAGCTATAGGAACCCCCCTCACCGCGAATCGAATTCAAAGACACGCTTTCCGGAGTTATGACCCAACTATAACCTCTTCCTGGTCTCAAGCAATACGTATGACAAGATTGTGCTAATCGATTTATCTCTTCTCAAGCTATAAGCGACGATAAAAATTAACACAATTTCAAGTTCATACTATTATTTAGCCGTTAATTCCAGTTTTGCTATGAACACTATCCATAATCATACAACAAATTTCTATTCCGGTTTCTTAATGTGGTCAAGCATCTGTTGGAAATATTTGTTGACAAAACACACAGCTAGAAACGAAACGCAACAAAACCACGGAAGGACCGCATGCCGCTCCTCAGCTATTGTTTGAACAAATCGTCAGTTGCGGTAGTGCTAACGAACTTTCTCAGCATTAAGCATAATAAGAAATCTGAGAAACATGCTGCGCGAAAATGGCCCATATTGAACACGCGGCTGTCTTGAATATGTACTCTTTCTTCATCAACAAATACAATTAAACTTATCAGGCACATAATGTAAAAACAGTTCATTCAGAACCAATTAATAAAGTATCGGTAAATGCTACCATCAAAGAGTTATATCAAGTTGAATGTGACTCTAGAAAACTTCAATATCGACAGTTCATAGAATGTTTCCGAAGCTCTGATCTCCCAACAGCTAACCAACTCACAGGATCACTGATATTTTTTTATTTGAAGAGGTTAGAAATGAAACCAAACGATCACAGCACAGACGAAGCGAGTTATGAGAGGGGCCATATTAAAGGGGGGTTCACACGGAGTCGTGGACCGGGCGAGAACACGACCAAGAGGACCGGATGTCGTGCTCAATACCGAGTGGGAACTAGTGGTCGTTGCACAGTTGGTAGTATACGACCTTGAAGACAGCGGTCGTAACCACTCCGGCATGTTGGAGTGATCACGACGAAGTCAGTCGTGTTCCATTTTCGAACACAGTGACTCTGAAGGCGAGAAGAAACATTTGCGAAGTCAAGTGGGAACTGGAGACGGGCGTTATTAATCAGGTCGATTACGCAGGTCGTGTGACTCACTCAAATAGAGTAGTGTTCTCGCCCGGTCCACGACTCCGTGTGAACCCCCAAGACTGGGCCGATATTGGGCGAGAATGATCCATATTTAAAACTACGAATGTAACTGCAGAAATATATGGCAGCAAAAGATGCCGGGAACGAGCCAAGAGTTGTCAAAACCCAAGTCTTAACAAGCAGTCACCAACTCGGAATTCAAATCCGACTCCAAATGTTCTTCGAACCTTTCTAATTTCCTGGTGTGAGTACGAAATTCTTCCTCCGCGTACAAATTCAAAACATTTTCCTGGGGGGATTGAAGAGACTCTGAAAAAACAGTACGCAGACACTTACTTTGAACACTCATTGCCATACAGGGAACATTTTGTGACATCTGTAGGCCACGTTGAATAGTAATGGTGATGACATTGTCAGAGTGTTTCAGAAGTAATTTTATATAGTTCTCAAGCAACACACAGTAGAAGAGACTAAATATGCACAGCAGCATAGCGGGAAATATGTTACGGGGCACCCGATGTTTGTTTTGGTTCTCTTCATCCTGCTGCAAAGTTTACAGATGACAACACAAAGGGTCCGCTATAGCAAGAACTACCTATTCTTTAAGCTTTTCTTTTCTAAAATGCTAATCCTCTTAGGGATCAAACTATGATCTGATTTATTCATTCCATTGATAATTCCACAGTAAATTAATATCAAGGTCATGTGAAACTTATGAAAGTTTATCAATTTTTTCATCAGGATATTGCTATAGATGAGTTGACTCTTTAGAAAGTTACAACTGCAACTTGCGAGCAATTGACCTAAACAATGAAACAATGCGACTGTACCTACTGGAACAAAAGAAAGGTTCCAAGTTATGCACAATTATTCAACGACTTAATGTTACCATTCACAACTCAGTGATAATATATCAGTCACTGCAAGCAAACACAAAAACTGACCCACTCACGGGGTCCATATTATCAAAGGACTGATTTATCTCCTGAACCGCCTTCTAAATGACTACTTACTGAACATCAGTTTTCAGTGCCACAAGAAGTCAGACCTCGGATGGCGTGTGCTCACAAGGCAGAAAGGAATTACCTGTTGGTCACTTGATTGTGAAGCTGGTGTGTTTGGGAGGTTACTTCAAGAGTTTGAACACAAATCTCCACTTCTAACCTCATTCCAGGTGCCCTATGTCTTTATGTGAAAAATTATACTGAATTTTTTTTTTAATTTATTATATTTAAAATGAAAAGCACGTAAATTTAGAAAAATCACTGCAAAAATTAATCAACTAATCAAATTACAGGAAGTCAATTAAATGAATTATTCATACACCATAAAATATGGTAATATGAAGCAGGAAGACAATACAACAAATGAATGTTTCAGATACTGAAAATGATTTTAACCTCTTGAAGCCTAGTGGTCACTGTATGTCCTACCTGCTTCAACAATCAGTAACTTCACGTGTTTCATACAATTCTCACTGTAAACAGCAATTATTTCCTTAAACAACATTAACCAGTTCATCTTTATGATATGGAAGTACAGGTTGAATTGTTAAGTATTATTTAGGCTTCAAAGGATTAAAAAAGATAACATGATTAAGTATGCAAGAGTTTTATACAATTTCATTTAATAAAAATTGTTGGAAAATATTAAAAGCCATAAATACATAATAATTAACATATACTGTACAGGAATAGGGGATTAAACTAGATGAACTTCAATTCCATAATTTGTGTGCCTTGCAACACATGGCCAGCTGAACCACGTGTAAGCCATGACACAAGACTGATAAAGGTTGGGACATGAAATGGAATAATAAGCAAATATGATAAGTGAAAAGTGTGACTGGTAAGTAAAGTACAGGACAGAACATGCGCTGAGAATGGGTCCACATGTGAAATATGTCTTCTGCTACACAGCATAATAAAAGAAATGAGAAGTGCATATATATATATACACACACACACACAAGAAAACACACTTTTTTGCAACATGTCATTTGTTCCAAGTGATTTGTGACATGTTTGCATGTCAGCAACAATGGAACAAACAGACCTAATAAACATGGGAGCAAAATAAAATTATATCCTTTGTACCTGTAGTTCATGTTCTCTTATTTAATTTTAAAACATAACTGAACAAACCCAAAGGAAACTTGTAACTAATATGCCTGAAGTTGAAGCTTATATTCTGGAACAACACAATTATGAGCCTGTGGAGGTGGATTCTTGACCAGGTAATCGTTAAGATACAGCGGAGGTACACACGGTATCCTCTTCTTCACCAACACGGACAGGTCCACTGGCAGAGATGCTTTACTCAGTTCCACAAAACAATGAGTGGCTTCATCGAGATTGCTGGAATTGAAACAAAGTAATGGAAAGTTACACTCAGCATTATGACATCATTCGCTGACTATGGTATGTACACAATATGAGGCCTGATCTAAAAGTACCAAGAGGGAATACACAAAAGCATGTAAGCAATTATTCCACTGTCCTGCCAAAATAGGAAACTCCTCCAAAGTCAGTTTTTGAAATCCCAAACAGTTTTGCCAAAAAGACGTTTCCTCATCATCGCATTTTAATAAGTTCTACCACTCACTGTATTCTCATCATCGTGATGTGTCAGTCTATACAAAATATAAATGTTGACCTTATGAAACAGAAAACAAATGGCATTATTTTACTTCTGCTGCACATTTGGTGTTCACACTGGTTTGTGTTGAGACTGCATTCTAGTTTCAAGGTCATAACAGTACAGTCATGTTTCATTGCCTGTGATATTTCAAAAATAGTTTTAGTTTCTGCACATTCACACAAGCCAAAAGCCATAGAGAAGTGGCATTTATTCTGCTCCTGTGTCAGTACTCTAAAGCAAACGACCTCAATCACAAATCTTTGTTTAAAATGGCCAAACATGAGCCATAAGACACTCCTACTTCTTCAGTGACCTCACAAATAATCTATCTTTTGTCATTTTGCACCAGGAAATGCTGATGGAATGGTGTCTAGCACACTTGTCTCTTTCAGCAGCCTATTTCTTCCTCTTTAAAAGTAATGAACCACTCAAAGAGTCAATATCACTCCACAGAATGCTATTTATATCAACTGATCTGCCTCAACCTTATTACGCACTGCTGTGTACTTTTAGACATCATTAAACTTGCATATAGAAGGAAGAGCTTTGACTTAAAATGCTGACCACGCACACAAATAACGCAAAGGAACGTGCTGTACGCAAGCCCAGACATGCAGGAATGTATTAGGATACACTCATCATAGCCATGTCCCCATATATTGCGATTTATCTAAGATATTAACACTTTTAGGTCAGACCTCGCATTAAGGTACTGCTTCGACTAAGATCATCAGGCGACTATATATACAGACTTATATGAGTGGTTCCAAACTTTTCTGATTTACAGATGGGTAAAACCATAGTTTTTACTGGTGTTGTCTCTCACACTGTATAGCCTCGTTACTAGCATGTGAAAACACATTAATTTAAAATATAAAAATGAGTATCTTTACATGGTATTAAAATCAAAGATATAATGTTCATGTTGGTCTTCTTCGTTTTAAGGCTGTATGTAGGTTTTTCAAAATTTTGGAGAAAACACTGCCTCCATCTGTGAAAATGGAACTAGAATGTTACTCTGAAATATTGGTATCTACCTATAAGTCCACTTGAGGTTACAACCAATAAGATCAATACAGAGATCTTCATGCCATGAGAATCTTGAATCTCATAAAGAGACATTGTCCCACTCCGTAGCCGCGCGGTCTAAGGCATCATGCTTCGGACCGGCGATACGGAATGTGCGCTATTTCGAGTTTCGGGCTAGAAGAAATTTTCTCATGAGCTTTCGACCAGTGTATGGGACCGGTGCCAACCCAGCATCGTGAGGAAATTGGGGAGCTACAATGAGTAGCGTAATCCGGTTATGAAAACTAGCAATGGCTGGGGGTTCGTCGTGCTGACCACACGTCCCCCTGTATCTGGTTGGATGATCGTTCACCTCTGCTTAGGCATGTGAACATGAGGCCAGCAGTCAAGCTAGTCGGCTTTGGCTCTCTGGAGCTGTTACGCCACGGATTTGATTTAATTTAATTTAATTTTAAAGAGACATTATCACCCACACCCATTATTCACAATTAATCCACTTCTGACTAACATCACCTTCAAGACGTGGTTTTTGCCCTGACCAAACAGTTTAAATATAACTGCCACTTAAATGCAACTGTGGGGCCATTTAACCTTTATTGCATTGGAATATGTGATTTAAACCCCATACTATGGACCTGCCAGCTGTACATTAACTTTGGGGATAATGGTTTAGTGGTATGCTAGTGTGATGCACAACCGGGTGAACTATGTATAAGCCATGATACACTGACATTGATAAACGTTACAGAATTCTTCAACTGTTAGCTTTGGTCTTTGGGATGTAATGCCATGTGGACTTGAAGGTGTTTAAAGACCCTCCTGCGATTTCGGAATGGCGTGTGCATCAAATTTTGCCAAAGACTCGCCAAAACGGCTACGGAAACCTATGAAATGCTAAAGCAAGCATTTGGGGAGTCCGCAAACTTTTGTGTGGCATTCACGTTTTAAAAATGGCCGAACCTCTGTCGATGATGACGAGCGTTCTGGACGACCATCTTCGCGCACAACGCCCGAAAATGTTACGAAGATTCGGCAGGCCCTTCACGAAGATCGACGTCGTACCATCGACGACTTGTGCGACATTGTTGGGATAGGCTATGGGGCCTGTCAGCTGATTCTAAAGGAAGAACTCCACATGCGACGCATCGCAGCCAAGTTTGTGCCAAGGTTCCTGTCTGAGGACCAGAAGCAGAATCGCCTTGACTTCTCGTTTGTCAGGAGCTCAAAGATCTTGCCGGATTTAGCTCTGTGTGACTTCTTCCTCTTCCCAAAGATGAAATTCAGCTAAAGGGAAGGAGATTTGAGACAATAGAAGAGATTTAGGCAGAATCGCAGATGGTGCTTGACAGGCTGACAAAGAAAGATTTCCAGGGATGCTTCCAGGCTTGGCAGCGGCGCTGGGATCGTTGTGTTCACTCCCAGGGGAACTACTTCGAGGGTGATGGATAAATTTAATACCTGAGATAAGTGTACCGGTTTTTATACGCGCAGTCTGGAAACTTTCCGATCGCACCTCGTACAGGGACAAATTAAATAATTAAGCTGTCAGTCAGATGTATCCATCTGCAACTTCCAGTTTGAGAGGCTGCAGTCAGACTCCAAAACTGTTTCCTATTCCTTACTAATTGGCCAGTTACACCATTGAATGACACAAAAGAAAGACAGGGAAAAATTTAGTAATTTTGAACTCAAACCAACAAATTGCTAAAGGAAACAAAACCTGTAACTAACTGTAAAATATACAGAGTTCATTAACCAGAATTGTTTTGCTCGAAATCAATGATATTCTGTATAGTTTCTGAAACTGTTATGCAGAACCCTGGGGTGCCATGAAGTAGCATCATGGGGTCTGCAAGAAAATACTGTCTAATGTCAGACTGACTCATTTTACAATGCCTTAACATCACGCACTGTTGTTCCATTAGTCATTTAAGCCACACTAAATCAGTTTAAGAAACAAAATTACCAATCGCCAATTACATGCTTTGTCTACATTCCTAACACAACAGTGTATGTCACTCATTATGTGTTATTAGGAAGCATGTAATGGTATTTTCATGACAACTAAAATTTCTGATGAATGACATTTCTCCAAGTTCACATCCAATTTTCACAGAGTTTCGACTGGGAGCAGCATGGTGTCGACTATTTATCAGTCTTAGGGACATCAAATCTAGGCATCAATGTAAATTAAATGTTTCTATTTTCTTGTGGATCACTGGTTCAAAATAGGAAGTTTAAAGAAAAAGGAAACACAAAGCAAGACCAATTACCTGATAACAAGGAAACAGATGAAGTTACAAGAATTTTAGGTCTCAATGACAGATTACAAAAGACAACATAAATATGACAGAAATCTCTGATTGGTGTTACAATGAGCCTGATACATAATGTGTCTTATGTTACAAAAGTTTATGAAACAATTCAATGGTTCCACTGTATTACAACATTTACATATATACATCAATGAAAGTGAAATTGGGAGGTCTAGCACTATCTTGGTGCTGAAGGAATTGAACATCTGCTTATGAGAAAATAAGGGATATAAGGGATAGTAGCTTCATTGTTTTAAAAAATTGCAACTTAAACAGACATTTAAGCTTTGATTTTTTAAAGTGGCAGTCATTTACTAGCGCTGCTCCAATTCTGGAAACTTTGTTACAAATTCAAGAGCAAAAAATCTATAATTAAGCAACATCTGGTGTCATTTCCTTTCTCACATCTACACTGATGTCATCATCAATTCAGCCATCAACATTTCACTGGGACAGAGTCATGTCCAACAGCTAAGGTAACTTAACATCATTTGTGGATCCAAACATCCACTGGCGCCCCAAATTTACCAATGAATCGATCTATCAAACTTAATCAGTCCATACAATGAACTGCAACCAACAAATCCTCCACTTTGACATAAATGAAAGAATGGCAACCATCAACGTCATTCAAAAGGTGAAACAATACGTTGACCTATTACAAGACTTGTCTTTCTACAGAAAAAAGAAAAACCCTCAATGACATCATCAGCAGTAAAATTTTACCACAAAGGGGCCAAGAAATTAACATCTACTGATCATGCACCACAGCTTATGCATGGTCCAGCTGTCCATCCATCACCATAGCATACCATTTAACCATTAAACCTGCAGCTAATGTCTGGCCAGCAGCCCTGTTACACAAGATTTAAATCCCCTGTAATAAAGGTTGGGGCATTTTGTATAATTAGATGCAAAAACAGTATACATAAGACCACTATTGTGTAGGATTTGACGTGTAGTCTAGTAGAAGTAAACTTCTACCAGACTACACAGTGCAACAACCCAGAAGACAGCCATCTTCAGACCACTATTTTCTTACCTGACGAGCAACTAGTAGTGGTCATCAATTAACACATCCCCTAATGTCTGATTTATTTTGGTAGTATCAAGATCTGTGACTGAGATGAGGTTAGGGACATAACAGTGGTTGGAAGCAGATGTTCTGAATGAGTGAACAGCATGGCCTATGAAAGGGGTGCAAAAATGTAACCCTAATCTACCTTTATTTATACTATGCACAGTTATAAATACTACAGCACATGGAACCAACTCAAACTATCTTTTCCCAGTTACTGACTGAGACAAACCAGCAAGAAAACATCCTGTTTCTGAGGAAGTATTAATTATTGAGTTTTCCTTTCACACTCCCTAACTTGCTAAAGAAAATGTGCTTCCAATTTGAATAACACTTGGTATGTGAGATCACAACACTTACCAGCAAAAAGAATGAAGTTCACAGTAACACTAACCCTGTTGAAACCTGATTAATCTCTGGTTACACTGAGTTATGACTCACATATGACTGTCACCTCTGACTTAGGTCACTCATATATAATTTTATAAAAGCAAATGCAGTATTATCAAGACCTAATCACTAATGTCCCTTCCAAGCAATGACTTCATTAACTGCGAATCAAAGTAAGCTAAAAGATTTTATTTAGCAATGCAGAGAATGCACACATCTAGTCAGGGGAAATGATATGATTGCCTTTAAATTGATTACAGTAGAAATCACTGACTTAATTTGAATAACTATACATTGGTGAGCCTTGGTAAGAACAAATCTAAATTAAATCACGCTTACCTGAAGTCTACCAGACGACCCCCTCCTGCAAGAACAAGTCTCTTGAATGGCTCTTCTCTCTCACGAGAAATGCAAACTGCAGCCCTCATGCCCATGAATGCACCTGTGTTATCTCCAGTAAGAATGCGACGCCACCGATACGCCGAAAGTGCCAGGTCATGTTCGAGAGAATCAAGTTTAAGGTCACGCATTAGTGATGATGCAGATGGATTGCCCCACTCAAATTCATCCTCCTGAAACAAACATTACTGTATCACAGTATGTATGCAACCAAGGTAAGTAATTAGAAAAATATCAAGAGGAAGGAAATATTCTTAGTGTTAAGTGATGACAGTTTGGACAATACCTGTCAAACTTTGTCACTCAGAAAACTTTCTCTTCTGATTGGATTACCCTATGGAAGTGGCACTTTGAAAATTTATCTCTATTGTGTACAGGTCATGCACAAACTCAAGGAGCCTGATAAGGAAAAATTACTTCAGTACTGCACACTTCATTTGAGGGGATATAGACATTTTAGATAAAGTTTTCTATAGTGATGAAGCATAGTTCCACCTACATGGATACATTAATCGCCAAAACAGCACAATATGGAGTGCTGAAAATCTACATATCTTCCATGAAAGACCATTACATTTCTTAAGACCGAAGAGTTATGTGCTATCTCTCGATGGAGGATAATTGGTCCCATTTTCTTCAGTGAAATTATAACAGCTAAATGTTACCAGGAATTGATTATGAATTTAATTTCCCTTTTGGAAGTTGACAAACAAGACACTGGTTCAGCAATATGGGGCTACAGCACATAGAGCAAATTTAACAGTGCAGACATTGAGTGAGTTCTTTGGTGCTCGCATTATTTATCAAATCATTGATCCTCATATCTATTGCCACAGGATTTATATCTTTGGGGATTTTCAAAACACAAAAACAACCTGCACACATTGGAAGAACTTAACCACAATACTGAGCTGTGCATGGCTGGTAGCCGAAGAATGATTCATTATACTTAGTTGCCATGAAAGCTTCAGATCATACATTGCGTATGTAATGGCCATAAAATGTCATTTATTTTTCAAATCTTTGCATTTATTTATATTCCGTTTTCCTTGATTCACATTTGAGAATGAGGGATGTGCAGTTGGTTTCTCAAATTTCACTTCCTCAGGGCTGTCATCATCAAACACAGATGATGGTTGGCATTTAAAGTTCCAGGTTCATTTTCCACTGCATCAGAATTCATGTTTTGAACTACATTCTGTCAAAACTAACAGGCAACTGATTGTATCTATATTGTTTTCTCCTAACAAAATGGAATTATCTAACCTCATACACACAAACTTTGTGAGGGACTCTGTCATGAAAGAATAAATTAAATATTTAACCACTTTTGCATAAGAATGTAAAAAACAGTGGTCAGAATAACAAGACATTCTGAAAAATTGTTAAATAGTAATAATTTAATTTCAGTCATAACACATTGAAAAATCAGGTGCAATCCTCATTCTTGAATGTGAATAAAGGAAAAGAGGAATATAAACAAATGCAGAGACTTGAAAAATAAAACATTTTACAGCCTCCATAACCATTAAAAAACTGCCTTCCTGGGAAATGAACCCCAGTTGCCCACACCAGAAACATTCATGATATCAAGTGAGGTACACCATTGAATGAATAAATACATCTTGATGGAGCTTATTAAGTAACAGCAAAGGAAATAAAATTGTATATTACAAAGAAACTGCAGTGTCTACACCTAATATTTTGGCCAAGAAGTCAGAGGATGGCCCACTGTCATATTGCAACAAAACCACAGTCGAATGAGAGGTCATCTTGTCAATATAATACTGTCTTTTGCTTTCTGATTTCAACGTAACTTATTGTTTTGAAAAACAGAACATGTATCAAGAATGGTTTGTGTGACTTCTTCATCACCATACATAATAAATAACCTTGTATAATTCAGATCAAACAGGTTTGAAGTTTTGTTAAAACTTAAACATAAAGGAAAAGAATGAGGGAAATATAAACTACAAAATTAATACCAATAATAAAATAAAATACTTTACAGAGATATAATTATCATGTATTTTCCCCACATTTTTATATGTTAGAAGCTAAAAGGGACAAATGCTCCATTACACAAGTATGTGAGTGGCTGAATAAGACTGAACTGTTCCATTACATCATAACATTATTAAAAGCATTATATACTTGGAAGATCAGACACTTTCGTATCTGAAATACTTCTATGGGCACCTTAGATGGTCATTTAACTAGCTAACTCCTTGGTAGCAGAAACCACTGGTCCAACACTGACAACACCAAAGCCCACCACCAAATATGATCCTGAACCAACTCCATCCATTTATGATCCTAACAGCCTACCTCCCAAAGATCCATTTTGATATTATCCTCCCATCTATATCTTGGTCTGACCAATGGTCGTTTTCCAGGATTCCCTACCAAAATTCTGTATAAAACCCTTTCCTCCGTGTCCACAAGCACACAACATGTCCAGCCCATTGGAGCCTCATAGATTTCACTACCTTCACTGATCTAGGTGACCTGTACAATTCACATTCCTTGTTATGCAATATTCTAACCCCACTTATTTCATCCTCCCTAGGTCCAAATATCTTCCTGAACACTGTTCTCAAACACTTGTAATCTATGTTCTTCCTTCAAGGTAAGAGAGCATATTTCACAACCATACAAGACAATAGGCAAAATTTCCCATCCTACTTATAGCGTTTTGGATAGCAGACAAGATGATAACAGTTTTTGAACTGAAAATAAATCCCCAAATGTATTGTACTCTTAATTTCATTGTTTCTATTAGCTACTGTTGTTCCCAGATACTTAAATTTTGAAACATTTTTAAATGATGTGTTACTTATAATTACATTCCACTATTGTTGCTGATGTTGATCTCATATTATGTCTACGTATTTAGTTTTGTTTACATTTACTTCTAGGCCTATTTTCTTGCTAGCCTGTAGGAGAGTTTCTGCATTCTTGGTTATGGTACCACACCATCCCCCAGTAAATTGATATCATCAGCAGAGGCAAGCACCTAGTGCAGATCAATCAATTTGAGCCCTTCCTGATGAAATGTTCTACAGCAAACCACTGTGTAAAAATAGGAATGCTTGTGGACTCCTTGGAGAACATTGAAGAGTAGCAGAGCAGTCTGCGGAATTGCAGCAGATTCAAGGACCAAAACAATAAATTTATCTGTATGTTTGACTGATAACAAAAGTGGTTCATTTCATATACTTAACACAGAGAAATATCCATCAAACCCATAAAATATAAACACAGCTGGAAGAAAATAAGGAAAAACATGGAAAATTTAACAAAGTAGAAATGCTGGAGGCATACTAATGCTGAGGCCACTTACCTGGCAATCTGGTACCAGCACAAACCATAAATAAGCAAATGTATATATAAAAGTGATGTACAAACGAAAATTTTACATGTGTCAATTGTACAAATGAAACAGTGACATAAGAAGCATCCATAGCCAGTATTATACAGAACATACAATATGGACATGAGGAAACAAGTTCATACCTGGACAAACTGTTTTTCCTTCTGGCAGACATCCAAGTACCCCTTGTGTAACACCCATTTTCCTGATGCAATGCTAGCCAAAAGCTTCTCACTTCGACCTGGGCGACTACAAACAAGATGAGTTGCAGAAGGATCAAATGTATGTTTGCCAGTCACCTCACCCCCAAGAGACAGGATGACTGATTCATAATATTCACGGTCCTGCATTGAAACACAGAAAATCTATGAGGAGCATTACACACTTCACATCATGACAGATTACAATAATAATTTTCCACAGCATGCAATTTAGTATCTCTAAAACGTGAGCCAGAACAGGCTATTTAGCCTGTCCCATGAAGATGATAATGATGAACACTGTTAACTATGTTACTTTTAACTAGCTACAAGGAGCAGAGTTTTCCACGGAAGGTGATAACAACACAGCTGGTCAGTAAATTTAACATTTATGAACTCAAAAGGTTTATTAGTGTTTGCAAGAGCCTGCTACTGATCCTATCCAGAGGCAGATCAATCCAGTCTACACCATCACATGTTACTGCCTTATAAGACCAATAGTCAAACATATTCCTTGGTATGCTGAGTGCCGTCTCACTGTCAATTTTTGACTATTTGCTGAATAGCATAAATTATGCAGCTACTCAACATGTAATTTTTGAACATCTTCATCAATGTAATTTTGGTATGACATGTCATTACAAAATATTTGAACTTCATATTATGATTCTGTCCTGCATTCTGATGATAAGACAGAAAATAACATCTGCAGAAGGTATGGGATGGGGCAGCGTTCATTCATAATTTTCATTTACATAGTTCTATAGCGGCCCCCGGGAGGGGATGACACTAAATGCACTATAGCATTCAGCTAGGGATGCCATTCTAGCATACATAGATCAGTGATTGGCTGTGCACCATGCAGTCATCACAGACACATTAAAAAATACTCTAAGATTACAATGCAACGAATATTCAGACAGTATTCTAACAATGGGAGACATGGAAAGGTTCCTGACCACAACATCAAGAAGGAAAGAGAACATTGCATTCTTCATAACCAACACTACAGTTCTCATCTGCTGTGGCCATGTTTGCATTTGGAAGGACACCTGCTGTCACTCAAAAACAATGCTTGGTCATCTGCCGTTCTTTCAGAACACACAAATTTTCACCTAAAATGTTCTAAGGATATTTGCCATTTTTCATGCATACGCGTTACTGGATTTGTTGCTAGGTGGCAGGACAATGCAGTGACACTGGTGTCTCTAGTCTTTATGTTTGCACATATGCTGATTTTCCTGGCAGCAACCCAATCCTATATAAATTACTCATACCTCAATGTATGCTACAAGTGCCACCCATCTCATCTTCCTTGATTTTATCACCCTGATAATATTTGTTGAACAGGACAAGTTTGTATGTAAAACCCTTCATTACGTAATTTTTCTTAATTTAACAGCTCCTTGCTGCCACGTTGCTGAGCATGATTTTAGCACTCAGTGATGTTTCTCAATTTTAATCACTTTTAAAGAGTTCTGTAAATTTTCATTCAGCATTTCACAGATGGGTTGGAAATTTTTGTGATTTTCATTTTTATATGTATCCAACACTTATGAATTCAGGATTTTATATTAATATTACATTCTTATAGAAAACTGTGAACAAAATAATGCATAGCATATTGGTTAATAATAAAACTCTGTTCAAATATTTCACTCACCCCAACATTTGACAACATGAACTTGAGAGGCTGCTGGCTGCTATGTGACTTCTGTAACATCAAACAATGAAGTGATTACACACACCGATTAGGCCCTCAAGTTAATAAGCAAGGATGAATGTGGTTCCAGGAATGGGAAAGGTTAAGAACCCTAGCATTAACATAAATTATGTGAAATGTTAAATTACAATACGCTAACCATGCCAAAAATGTCTTAATTTTACTACAAGACAGGAGATAGTAAACCACTGTAGTTAGGCATGTATAACAGTAGATTGCAACCATAAGCTAATCCTTGTACGTGTGCTGAAAAGTACCTATATGATGTATGATTTGAGGTTTTCACAGCGATGAATCGCCCTGATGACGGAGGCAGTATGACCTCTGAAACGTTGGTAAACATCAACTAGACTACACAGCACAACAACCCAGAAGACAGAAATCTTCAAATAAAACTCCATTTACATTCAGAACATACACTTACATCAGCAATATGCTAAAATACTTATGAAGATGCCATCTATGGTAACATTGCACAGGATATGTAACCTACTACATTATGCCAAGGAAAAGACATGCAAAGTGAGGATGGAAGAAGAGAGTAAGACACTAAAAGAAAGAAAAGATATAGTCAGGACCCCAAATATGGGCAACACGAGGAAAGCAAGCAAATGTGAGGTCAGTTTTATATACGAACAAAAACTGCTTCTTTGAATAACACGTTAGGATGTTAGGATGCAGCTCTGAAAATACCAAAAATCAGTGACCTTCAATCAGAAGCAAAGCTTTTTGATTAAAAAGTAATTACATCAGATTCTACCAAAATACACAGATGAAATCAAGGTAATATTTATTATTCTAATTAAAAATTAACTGTGTTAGTAACACACAAATTACATACTTTCTGCTTTAGTTATATTAAAGCACCATTTATGCAGTATTCTTACATACTGAAATATTTACATTTTTTTCCTACAGCTTGTGCCAAAATGAAAATTTCCTACCAGAACATCTCCAGACAGCTAGAACTATTTGCTGATTAAAATGCCACTGTTTTAAGGTTTAATAATGCCCTTACCCTCTTCAGCTCATTAACATCTATAGGATCATCCCAGCCAACCAATCCTTGGGATTCCTTCCTTAGCTGTTCTGCAATAAAAAGCAACATAAAATAAAATAAAAATGCAGAAACATGTCAGTCTTCCTAATTTCACAAAAAATATGAAGTCAGTTTCTCACTAAATCATGATCTTGTTTAATGCCTGACAAATTACACAACCCGGCCCACCAAATAATAATGATTTCACAAATAAAAAATGACTGACTTATCTTCCCTGCTAGTTTCTTGCTCCCACAACAATTACAAAGTATTAAAATTTATAGCACCAATCATGTCGAGAAAAATTAGTCCAACACGTATATTAGGAACATACAAACCCAAATAACAACACCACTGGTTAAACACTGAGAAGTATGTCACTACTGATAGAGACATATATATTAATACAAGATTCCAACAATTGCCAATTACTTAGAAACATTACTAGAAGGAGTGATAATGTAAGCGACTAGTACACAATCTGCCAACAACAGATTCTATGGAAAGCACTTCAAAGTTGACATCTACTCTCCACAGGCTTTTAATAGAAACGTTCTCAGTTCCTTCTACACTGTTGGTGGTCTCAGATAAAAGTACATGTATAACACATAACACAAACTAGAACAACAATATAAAGAGAAAAGCAATTCCAATACATACAAGTTCAGGTATGAGGCATGTGAGGCCCTGGGCCATCATCTGACCCTTTCACTGCCACCGTTTAAAAGGTGCTCCTAACCATTAGATGTGCGAAAGGATACAATTCATAAATGACTGGAATTTTTTCTATTGAATACATTATTTTTTTAGAGAGGAACATTTTATGCAGTATATACAGATGGCCAATGAATGTGTACCAAATTTCAGGATGTTGTTATATATGTAATTTTGAGTCAAAAATATTTAACGCGTGTCCAATTCTAAAGCAATACATAGTTGTGAGCGTGTAAAATTATAATAATGGAAATTACAAGGAAGAGGACAGAATTCTAAAACACTGTCAATCAATTTGTAAATGTAATATGCAATTCTATAACCTAACAAAAAATAACAGATATAAGCAAAATTGAACATCAGATGGAAAATCTGCAAAACTGTACTCTCCCATACAGAATAAACCATCTTTCACTACATATTCCTCTGTGGATAACAATACAAACATGGCTACAGAATAACAGCAACACAGTGCACATTACTTCAATCATCCATGCCAAGTTCAGAAATACAGCACTGAACTGCCTCACCTATTTCAGGGTCAGCCTGCTTAACATCATCCAAATGATCCTCATGTACATTGGCTTCACTAGGCCAGACACGTTTAATTTTGGGCTCAGAGTCTGTACTTCCAGACCGTCGACTTGACAGAAGCTGATTTAACTGTGCCAGCTGACTGTAACATACAGTAATAACAAATAAATATCTTCTCAGTACACAGAAGAAAGCAAACAAACAAAACAACTGAATGTAATAAAATGTGGTTCATTTCCATGTTGTCTTAATTTAACACAAATCTATATTCATAATGTTATATTTGTTTCATGGTTGTCAATTCACGCTTCAGCATGCACAAACACCTTCCTTTATGGTTCATACCTTAGTCTGCTATCAGGCACTTATCTTCCTTACTTACATTGTTAAAAAGACATGTTGACTAGTCTTCAAGTCTCTACTTATAATAAATTTAATGACAGATGTCAGAAATGTTTTACAGCTTTTGATAAAGTCCTGTAGAACACATATCAATGTCAAAAGTGTGTGTTAATCTTCACTTCCTGTGCACAAAAAATGCAAATTTATAAATCATAACATTATAATGTTAACTTCAGTGTCAATGTCCACACACTTAAAAAGAAAATCTATTATAATCTTATGACAGTGCCTACAGTTCTACGTGCCACTGCTACTGTAGTATATGAGGTTCTCACAGTGGTGAGTATGAAGCGGGCTGTTTTCTGGGTTGTTGTAAGATAGATCAGCAGCTTCACATGTTTAAAATATCACTGCAATTTTTCTCCCATTGATGTCACTTACTACATTCACACAGACTCATTCATTCTCTACTAAAGCATCTTACAATTCCATGTGTCTGGTAATAGTGGTATGAATGAACTAAACAGCACCTAGTAGAACACACAACAGTTTAAATAATATCAGACAGCTTAATTTTCTTCACAAAGGAAACTGTTCTGTGGTAATTTTTAACTTATAAAATTAATGTCACTTTGGTGTGGAATTCCATTTTGTTAATTTTGTTAAAAATAAGAATTACAGTACAGTGGCTCCCAAGCTTCATATACATTTCTATGTTTCATAAAACAGTTAACCAATTTTAAAATTCTAGAAAAAACTACACAAAAATGGGTCTTTTTTCACACATACAAGAGAGAAATCTCCATGGAGCATTTATTACTGTTACCACACACAGTAACACAGTACTCTAATTCTTTTCTAGAGTAATTCCTCATTTTTAGTGTCTTCATTTCAACTGTAACCTAAACTGTACTTCTGAATTACATTTTTATGTTCATCAGGGATTGGGTCTTGGCACAAAGGTTGTAACTGCATTGTCCAGGATTCACAAGGTTTCAATTTATCAACTCAATGGAAGAACTTCATAACAAGTTGTAAGTAGTTTCTTCAGAATATATTGTGAAACCAAGCAATATACTGTGACTTGCTTGCATATTGGTAAGATGCAACTGTTGGTATCCTGATGATTTACAAGATTATCAAACAAGCAACAAATCCTTCTGTTTTGCCTGAAGTAAGATATTTCCACCTCCTCACTCTTGTGTCTGACCTTGAAGGAACAGCTGTGAATATGTGTTTGTAGCTCAGTCAGTATAATAACTGACTATGGACTAGACATCCGGGGTTTGATCCCAGACAGGGGCTTAGCCTCTGCATCCAGCCTGGCTCTGAGGCCCACCCAGCCACATGTCCAATGGGTACTGGGGTCCTTTCAGAGGGGTAAAGCGCGACCAGGTGTGACACTGACTGCTCACTCCTATCTGGTGACAAGGTTAAGAATGAAAGTGTGTGTAGGAGCTATATCTTCTGCCCCCCCCCCCTTCCAAGCACCTACATGGCTTGTAGCAAAACAGCTTTACTTTATTTTATGTGTGTTTGTATCAGTAAGAACTACATTTAGTAATACTGTTGTGAAAAACTAATAAAAGTCACAAGAGCTGCAGGTAGGGTGTACTTTGATCACTGTGCAGCTGACTGTCATTATCACTGACTATGCCTTCCCAGTCACTGTATCTTCCTCATCAATACCATCAATACTTTTAATGTCAGAACACACACAACTCTGAGTCGCCACTCTTTGACACGTGGGATAAGAGCAGCAGTGCATTTCCTTTGTTTGGGGGCTCGGTGGTATGACAATTCTGTCGTCCACAATGTCACTCTACAAGCACAGTGAATAGAACATTATTGTTGACTCCTAAGAAAGTCAAACAAATAAATCTGTTTATAATTTTACAGAATGACACATGATAACATTATAGGTAAGATGAAAGGATACTTATACAAAACTGTGTAAGGAGAAGCATATGCAAGAAGTAGAGTCACTGTATCTGCTACATTGTTTAGAAATGATATCATGCAGCTGAGATGGAAATTACTAGCATGTAGAGATGGTGGTCTGCATATCAGCCAGTAGCACTTGTAACAAAACACTATATGGGTGACAGTTCAGCCACTTGGCATTAAAAGGGTTAAAATTTCAATGGCTAACAGCTATAGTAGGTAAGGTGACAGTAACTAGTTATTCCCTGAAATTATCTGTCACTGGTAATGAGCATGTAGCAGTTATTAGATCCATTCTTCATATGTCACTGGCTAACACCTGCAGTAGATGGCAAATATGCAAGTAAACAGTCAGTCACTAGAGATATTTGAACCACTGGTACCTGCCATATCTGGCAACAATGAATAAAAGGCATTCTCTTCTTCCCTCACTTATATTTTCCACAACCTTATTTCTGTATACCAATACATACGTGTGCATGTGTGTGCCTGTGCACACACACATGTGCGTGAATTGGGATGGTGTCAAAGCAACCTTTGCACAATGACCATTAGTTCATATTTTCTGTATACCATACTTGAATTTTCCAAGAATACTGACAACACTTTTCTGTTTCTTTCTCCTTTGCTAGACTACTACCACATAGGCTACCTATATTATGTATGGATGAGTGAGAAACCTCTATCACATACACATTGTTTTCCTTATTAATAAATTAAAATCATTTACGTTATCACATACTTCCTATTGCTAAAAAAAGACCTCCAAGAACTTTTACGTAAACTACAATACCATTGTTTGTGCAACATTTTAAATTGAAATGACATGTCTTATACACCTAATTCTAACAGCATATGCATTCTGAAAAATTATAACCTTAGAACTAGATACAGACTCACTAAATAATAAATAAACAATTAAATATTATGAAAAAATATAGATGTAAACAAATAAATTATTTAATTCATCATCCCATCCAAAACCAGCATATTTTCTTTTCACTATTATAATAAAAATAAGGTACCCTCAATTTTCACCCCTCCTTTTCCAAGCTTGTAAGGCAGTGAGTAACTTAAACAGTACTGGTAACTACAGTCACAGAACTGCAGTTATTAAAAAATCACCAATTCACTCATCTCTACTTACGTATGAACTCCAGTTGAGTGTGATGGATTTAAAGACTGCGAACTTGATGCTTCTCCATCCTGAAATCACAAGGAACCTCAAACAGGATGAAACAAGACACTGTGATCAAGCCCCAGCCATGCTCTACCCATGGGCAAACAACCCCTGGTATCCACTGAATAGGAGACTGGGTGGCCCCAGACCCGGTCCGGACGTAGAGACTAGAAGAAAAAGTCTTTGCTGCTGACCAGTTTTAACTCCTGCTGCTCCAAAAATGCATATACCAATGCAACATTTGCAGTCCAAACCATGTTCAGCAAGGTAATAATCAAGGGCCTAAAAAACTGCAACTCCTATAGTATTTGAGGCAAGTTCAATGAAATTGAGCATTTCTTCTCTCGCACCATAGGCATGTTCATATCATATATATTCCAACACAATTGCTGTATTTGTTATATCTGTAGTCATCATTTTGCAGTGAGTAGTAACTTGATGGTATGGGCCAGGTATCTCAGTATAGTGACTGACTACAGACTGGACGACCAGGGTTTGATCCCTGACGGGGGCAGAGGACTTTTCCTCTGACCTCTGTAAACAGACCAGCTCTGGGGCCCACCTAACCTCCTATACAATGTGTACCAGGGTCCTTTCCTGGGGGTAAAGCACAGTTGGGGCACAACACTGACCACTCACCCCTATCTAGTGCTGAGGTTAAGAATGAGTAGGAGCTATACCTCCTCTCCCCCAAGCACCTACATGGCATATAGTGGGACAGCTTCTAGTAACTTGATGCTTTGATTTACTGCAATAGTTATTCCTCCATATCTTCAGCTAGTTCATCAGCTCTCTAAGTGACTGTGTAGTCCGACAACAGCTACAGAGTTGCACAAAATAAAGTACATCGAAAATTATTAACGAAAATATTTATGCCAAGTAATCAAATGTACACACAGATTTTTGAGTATGTTGGTACTTTATGTTTTCTAAGTGTCTTCCATTTTGTTCCAAGCATCTCTGAAGTCTTACTGCTGCATTTTCTATGACTGCATCCAATGTGTGTTTAGAAATTGTTGCAATAACATGTTTTATGTTCTCATTCAACTGAAGCACAGTGTAAGGTACTGGATCTCTGTATACACATTCTTTGAGCATTCCTCTAAGAAATAAGTTAGGGTGTTAGGTCCAATGAGTGTGCAGGATATGCAGAATTGGTACCTCTGGAAATAATTTGTTGACCAAAATGCCCTAGAAGCACTGTGATTGTCTCACAAGCTGTATGACTTGTTGCTCAATCTTGTCAGAACCACTGTTCATTCATACGCAAATTTTTTGCACGACAAAATCTTCTCAGTTCACCAATGAACTTCTTAATCACTTCTTAATATTGCACTTGACTGACAGTTACTGTCTGACCATGACTATCTTCAAAAAAATATGGACCGATGATGCCATGACTAGAGACAGCACACCAAACATCTTTCAGTACACTTTATTTTTTGCAACTCTGTATTACACTGAATGAACAACAATTTCCACATAACTTATACAATGGCACATTTCTGTAAAATGGCAAACCACCAAGAAAATGGTAAATCCAAAAAGTATTCCTCTTGGAATGATAACCCACCAAAAAATACTTCTTTTTCTATTTTCAAAATTAACTACAGAGGTGTCCAAAAATTATATAATGGCAATTAATTA